GACGAAGGTAGATTTTCAAGAATTCGTCGCGAAACCGAGAAGTGGTTCGCACGAAGCAGAGTGCAGTCTCGAAAAAAGAAATAAGATCGAGTAGTCCAGTAAGCACTTTCATCGAGCGAAAACTCAAAAAGGACAAGCCAATTAAAGAAGAGCGTCGGGTTATCGGAACGCTAGCAAAACCGGTCCACAGGACACACAAACTTAACGTTGTCATTAAAGATCAGGGGAATACCGCGTGAGCTGAAATTTGGTCAAGTCAATCCTGAAACATGTTGTAGGTACTACAAAAAAGAACCCGGTCATAGAAAATGCATATCAGTGCAGGGTACGTAATGCAATGTGTTCACGCTGGTCCACAACCGGTAAATAACTGGTGAACACTAGGTTTTGAAACAACCGCTATATTACGGTAAAGACATACGGATAGGTTAAGTCATTGGCAAGACCAAAAAGTAAACATAGTCGGAAAGCCTACGGAAAGCAATTATGTCTTCTGATAGGATTAGTAGATTGCAATAAAGACACTCAATAAGCTTCAATTAAGGAACACACACGTTGGCAAGAGGCTAGAACCAACCGTGGCCAGATATCACGAAATAGTGCGGCAGCGTAATCCACGATATAACGAGAGTGAATGGACTGACTTCGATCGAGAAGAGTCGAAGCGAGCAAAAATAACAAAGAATCACCAAAACGCCCTGCTATGATGAGCTAGCCGTAACGGCCGACTTAGTCGGAACGAATGATATGGTCCCCTGGAGTTTTATCCCCGAAGTGAACGGAACGGTCATGTCTGAGCCGTGCCCTGCGCGTGCGTGATTCGAACACTCACCAATAACGTACCAAAACTCAAAGGGAGATAAAATACGCTTTCGGTGGAGTGCCTTTACGATTCGACAAAAGGTAAATATGAGGCTGCACAGTCTCGACTAAGTACCGAAGTTAGTAACATATGTGAGCATCCGAGTAAAACATTTTGCGTAGTGAAACAGGAGGGAGCGTGGGCGTGGCGAAACGTGTGGGTTCACGTAAGCACGAAGAGTAGGTGGGTGCGTGACGTAAAATGCGCGCATGTACGAAAGCGCAGAGTAAGCAAAGACCTCTACAGATTGTGAGTTGTCATGGACACGAGTGTCTGTGCCAAAAATCAGCATGGGGGAAGCGCGCGTACTTAGATAGGGCTTCTGTGATAGTGCGAAGACGTGCGTTCCTCGTAACATACCAACAAACTTAGCGATAAAAGGCGTGCAAGGTAGTCGCATATCGCGGATTGGTGCCATGTCTACAACAATGGGCACCTAAAGTACTTGGTGGGAGGTCCACGAGCTAAGGTAATGAACACCGAATTGCACTTCATGCTATCCGAGTATCGCCACGACACCCCTATAGTCAGTAATATAATGGGAAAGTAAAATGAAGAAGACTGGAGGGATTGGTGAACAACACCAAAGATTGGAGAGTAGGGTAATAACAAGCTATAAACGAAGGTCAACTGGTAAAACTGGCAGCCACCCTGCCAAAACTCCGTATGCTGGCGATCACGTGAAGGAATGGAAAGTTCCGGAATCTTCGAAATCAATGCGCGATCGGTAATCAATTAATTGCTAAAATAATGGGTTTTCCTTTATGTTTTACCTTCCGGATAAATATAATGGACGGTGAGACAATATCGCCCAAAATGCAGGTCAAGCAATTGCAGACACTAATGACACAGTACGAAGAAAACCACGTGCACTTAAAAGCATACAATTGTAAATAAATACCGACATCATTTCTGATTAATATTATTACTATCACCAACAACCCTATACACTGCGTTACTACTCTGTTTGTGCTTCACTGGTACACTACTGCAACCATGGTGGTAGGCGATAAGAGGACAGGATAGCAGGAAATCAAAGCAAGACCGGAATGTCTTGGGCAAACAGTCAACATTGTTGCCTCCACCATTCGAACAAACTGCGGTTACAAACACGTAAGTAAAGTGCATGGATGAAGCGGCGTCAGTGAAATGATTTCTTCCAGCATTCTTCGTCCCGCGTTATTCGCAGTCGGGCGGTACGAATGACTCGGTGCCATGCACAGTTTAAACAGATAGTCTGAATGTGAGCATCAAACGCGCCGCAGGTGCCATAGAGGCTTGTTTACGCCGGCCAGTAGTCTAAAGGTAACCAGCTCGTCTTGTAATCTGATGGCGCGGGTTCGAGCCTGCGTAGGGACAGGGCGACTCGCAGTATCCTTAACCCACGTGCGACCGGTGGCGGTTGCCCGGTAGCGAAGCGCCGATACGCAGTACCGGCGTAGTGCTGATGCGTAGAGGCTTGCTTAGACAGTAAAATGCCACTTGCCGCGGTTCGCTATGACCGTGCCTTCAGTAGCCGCAGCGCACTCCCTCTTCCGGTTGGTGCGCTGTTTCAAAAGCTCTGGTTCTTTTTAACATAGTATTTACCGAGTGAAACAGAAAGCGGCTTAGTCAATCATGATCAGGAAAGCGGAGACCACAGTTTTAGTCGACATATGATACAGTGACATCGCTCCCACCCGCCAAAGACCGAAAGCATTATCTGTATAGCCACCCCAATGTTTGAAATCTGTCTGCTTCGTATCGAGTACTCAAACCCTGCTGAACAGTAATGAGGCAGACAAAATGGAGACCAGCAGCTCTGTCGCCGCTGGGGCCGATCCGATGTTACTGCAACTGGCACAAGTGCTGCGACCGTATCGCTCGAATATTGATAATAAGATAGATTTGCCTTAATTGACAGAGGGGTTTCCAACTTCGGCCGGTCAGCAAATACTGTAGGGTTTTAACAACTTTGCTAAGATCCACCGGATTGGTGCGGTAAACTGTTGATGATCAAACACGATAAATCATCTGACTACTTCAGCGTTCAATGACCATGTCTCCGAGCTATACACTAACACCGAGTTCCTAGATATTTTCTCTAATCAGTGTGCTTATACGCCACCGCCCTTGTGGGTGATTCAGGTTTTGTGAATCCACACGAGCCCCACTGATGCGCGTAGCAATGGCAGCAGTAGTGTGAGATGATGGGGTCACTAGTTAACTGACCAAACATTTGCAGTGGTTGTGTGCTAAATAACTTCCGCTAGAAAGTTCAGCCACATCATGCGGAAATCTAGGTATCATCAGCAAAAATGTAGATGATTATGTCATTGGTGAGACTAGGGAGCTAGACGACCGATGAGAACCACAGGATAGTACTAAAAGACACTTATGCGAAAACGATTAAGGTCATGGTATAAAAAAACAACATACGTTCTGTCCGGATCTCAACACAGACAGTGTAACCAGCCACAAGGGGAGCTTAGGACAAAAGCAACATCAAAGCAGGCAGGTGAAAAGGAAGCCATTATGGAAGGCTTGTCATAATGCGAAAAGAGCAGGTTTTCTATGTCAATAAAAAGCCATAAGTCAACAACGAGGAGAACAATGATTTCAGCATAAAACATCAAGTAAATCAGTAAAAAAGTGGGAGTAACCTACACATGCTATGGCGAGGCAGCGAAGCAAGGGATCAATCCGAGAGATGACGTGTAATGCTGAAACAAAGAAAAGACTACTGTTAGGAGTGTCGCACTCAGCGGACCTATAAGAACACATCTATTATGAACGTTCATTTAACAAGCCGGCTAGCAGACTTAAGGATCACAAGCCTGTCTACTAATCTGAGGACGCGGGTTCGAGTCTACGTAGGAGAAGGGCAACCCTCGCAGTATCCTTAGCCGACGCGCGACAAGTGGTGGTTGCGCGACAGCGAAGCGTCTGTACTGCATACCGGCGTTCTGCTGATGCTTTTCCGTATGTAGTGCCAAAGGGGAATCGAAATGCCGGATCCTAAACGGATGTTGGATTTCGTGTCCAGTTGTTCAAACATAAGTGACAGGTGAGTAGAACACAGGAGCATCAGCAGTACGCCGGCACGCAATACCGACGTTTCGCTGCTGTGCAACCACCACCAGTTGCGTGTCAGCTAAGGAAACTACGAGGGCTGCCCGGTCCCCTGCGCAGGTGCGAAAGCGCGCCCTCCGATAAGTAGACGGGCTTGTAATCCTTAAGGCTAGGGGGTCGGAAAGTAGAACCAAATGAGAAGGGTAAGCAGTTGCAGGTGTTGCACAAAATGATAATGTTTATCAGCTGCGACGGAAGAACCGAACAGTGTGGATCTTCGGAGTTCAATGATAGCGGAAACAGCATGGTGGGACACTGGTTCCTGGTTTGACCTGTTCGCCGAGTTTTGTATTTGGTTGGTGGGACACCAGGTGGACAAAAATGAAAAAGATAGGCACAGGAAAAGAAACACTAACTATGGGTTTTGATCTATTTGACGAATCAAACATTGGTGTATTCGGCCTTATGAGACTCGTCCAGAAAAGCGAAGCGAACCAATTCGGTTCAGAATGCTCATATTTAGTTGCCTAATCACTGCCAGATCACTTTGAAGACATTCAAATTATAAGCAAATGAGCCATGCTGGTGTAGACTGCTAACCTATATGCGAAAAACATGATCACACCGAGTATGCAATCACCTAGTACCACTTGAGGGTGGAAGTCCTTTTGTGATCAGAAGATAATGATAGCGGCAATCCGTATCGGTAGTGAAGGCTTTGCAAAATACACTAGCTTTACAGAGGAGCAATAAGCAGCACCTAACTGACTATCAAAAGTGAGGCAGCCATAGGTGAAACTTTGAATAGCTCAGCAGTAGTTGCGAGGCAGCGGAAAAAGCCCATTCCAGAAACAGAACATGAAGTCTTGAAAGTACCGAGTATCTAACGAAAGCAAACCTTGTGCGTTAAATTATCCAAAGGGAGCGCACATTTGTGCAGTTTGACTTAAAGAGGATGGTACCGTTCATGTACTCCAAGCCCGTCGGCAGGCCACGTGAAAGTACTTTGTCTTAGATGAAATAATCAGACAAAAACAAGCACGATCGGTTAGATCCGTAAGTGTGGAACTCAAAAAATTATCATGCATGCGCCCACATTAATACGGGTTATAGTAGGGTCTCCAGAATAAACATGATTTTCTGATACATCGTCCTATATTTAATGATGTTGCAAACAAGTGCGAATGACCAAAACAGGAATAACTAGGTCAGTGAAACGACGGTGACAGATCAATAATGGTTTACGTCTAGCGAAAATATGGTGAAGCTTAATGGAGATAGTCTTCAGGTCATCTCTCTTGAGACCCAGTGAGAAACTAGAGTATAATGTAGCGGCCTAACAGTATCTCCTTTCAACTGTGATATGACCAACATATTTAGTTTTAACACACACCCAAGGAATTTCAACCATTTAGATGAAGTATTGAAAAATGATACATGCCGAGGAAACAGACTGGTAGGCATTCAGAGCTCTTGAAGGTGATTCGAGTTCAGCGGGAACACCATAAAGGTGTCAGCAGTACGTTGGCACACTGTATCGACGCTTCGATGCGATGCTACTACCAGTTGCGCGAGGGCTGGGTATACCGCGAGATCGCCCGCACCTACGCGGATTCCAACCGGCGACCTCAGGAGTACAACGCAAGCGCCCAATTATTTTAGCCACAGGGCGACAGGAGATTTGATTGCCAAGCACCAAAAGAGGAACCTCATTTGGCTCTCATTCCATGTGTGAGCAATATTTCGTAGGCACCGGTGGTCAGATATGGGTAGTTTTTCAAAGTCCTCAGTACGCGGCGGCGAGTCTCTGACTCACACACAGTACCACTGGCCACACCATAGTTTTGTAATCCATTTCCTTCACCAATACCCCTACATCACGCTGGTTTTGATGAGCCATACGTATTATGTGTGCAGCAATATTTTGGGTTATATGACTGTCAGAGGTGATACGGTTACTCTGATATAGGAACTGATCCATGATCTCGTGGTAGTGAGAAGTACCTTGCACTAAGAAGGTGCACAGCTATGACCGAACACAGCGCTACCTGTCAGTCAATACAGTATTGTTGGTAGAGAAGCCGTGTACAACTAAAGAAGAGCTATTGTCTACACACTGTATGTCCTACAGTCGGTTGTTCAGCAGAAACTCCACCCCACTCCCATGCAAATGATAAAGTGCAGGGGGCACTTAACAGTTTCTAAGCCGTATCTCCCATGGACAACTGCTACTGATACAGAAGCATTGTATTTAGAGTAGTTCGAGAGTGGTAATAACAATAATAAATAATGTGTCAGCTGTACACCGTAACGGCGCTTCGCTGCCGCGCGACTACCACCAATCGCGCGCGGGCTGAGTATACCGCGAAGACGCCCACCACTAGGCAGATTCGAACCAGTGACCTTATGGTTGCAAACCAAACGCGCAGACCACTCGGTCACTGGCCGACCTCGAGAGTGGTGGAGAGCAGGAAACTTACTACCTAAACGAGCGTTTGGTTATCAAACGTCAGTCGTTTTTTCAGAAATCCATCGCAACTTGAACAATCTTCGAAATCGTATTTGGTAATGTATTGGATGTAAAAAAGACAATCATTCAACTCATTCATCTGCGTAGTGACGCGGCCGACCGTTCAATCTGGCTTCGTAACAGTTTGGTGAGTTGCGGCTTAAGATGACATGCTAATAACCGAAGTTGGCAACTACACGGTTTCAAAACGGCCAAAATCCGGGCACGCACTCAAAGAAGCTGACAATGTTGGGATAAAAGTGATTAATGTAGTTGATGTCCGTGCAGTCCAGATAAGTGCAAATCGTTTAGTACATGGTGATTTCGGGGTGAAAAAGACACACGTATCCATAGGTAAAAATTTCTAACAAGAGGATTAACACTGCAAGTATAAACTTAAGGTTGATACTAGATCGATTAACTGTGGCACTCATGAAGATAGAAATATTTGTACATCGGCCATCCGGATAGATGAACATTAATGGAATCCACATCTTAAATCCAAGGAATCACAAATCGAAGCGACGAAAAGGCGCACTGCCTTGATCCGTGATTAAGAAACCTGAGATAAGCAGGCAGATACTCACTGGGGTCATTCGAGCGGAACACATATCCAGTGCTTCTACTAAAAGTTCTCCTGGTGTCCCCAAATAACTCGAATTGCGAGCCCAGTGTAGCCGAGGACGGGAAAACTACCATTAACAACTACTCAGTTTGGCTCAAGTAAAGAAATGATCCGAGAACAGAACTGCATTGGACCCGGTTTGAATGACCTGCATCGAGATGATGTCAAGAGGTTAATAGTGTGGAGATATAGGAAATACGGAGAAATGCAACCGAAAAAGAGGTACGTAAAGGCAGCGTGTATTCCCAAACCAAGAACGTCAAACAGCTAGATGCAAGAGAACGAACGACAGAGAACATGCATGCCACATCCAGTAAACAAAACTGGACTTTCCTGGGTATGCGGCGAGCAGGCATAAAAAACACGTATCCAAGCCAACGCAACGTGTGCAACATTACTGGATAATCTAAAAAATTAACCCGATCATCACTACCTAGTGTACGTCGATGCACATCATTATTGCGGACACGCTGGTGCCATTTGACACCAGCAATCTTTTGAAGGCAGCCATGATCAAATACTTGAAGATACGCCATAACGTCGAATTGAAGAGGTCGTCGCACTTCCACAGAGCAGAACGGCTCTCACTGGGGCTTTTCAAATAAAGAAAATCCCTTCTGAAAACACGGATTTTACGGATTGGAGAACAGATTTCTAGCTACCGCAATATGCAAACTGACTACAGCAACCTAGCGCCTAACGCTACTAATGCAACTGTAAAACGAGGATGAGAAAATATAGAAGGCATCAGCAGTATGCCGATACACAGTACCGACGCTACGCTGTCGCACGACCGCCACCAGTCGCGTGTGGAATTAGTATACCGCGAGGTCGCCCATACATGCGCGGACTCATGGTTACAGGGCAAGCGCGCCATCATCATCAATACACGATAGTTGGGGGTGAGAATCTCGCCTCAGCTAATGTGCCGCAAAGACAAGTGCGCAATCTTTTGACCACCGACCGACTCGTTAGTGATCGAGTCAAGGGATTAGCAAATGAATGGTCCTACAACAACAATGAACTTTGAGAAAGCACACATCAAGTGATGGGAATATCCAAACGCTAATATAAAGTTGACCATGCTGTCTCGCGATTCTCAAACAGCAAAAAGGTAATATCTGCCTCATCATGATCAAACAATTTTGTAACAGACAGCGTTGTTGTGTTTACATCGTATGGATTTCACTGGAAAACACTGCACTATAAAGTTAGACAAAATGGAGGCGCACCTGGCGAACGCGTGTTACCATGTGAACAGTGAGTGAGATATAAAGGCTGATCAACTTCAAACGCTGGTGGGTACAGCATTGCTCGTGTCTAGTGGGGCCACTGAATAAACAACTTAGACGTCTAACAGTTGGCGTCTGATAAGAGACTAGCTAGTGTAATACAAGAAAGTTTGCACTTGAACCCTCTATATCGACTTGGCCAGGTTCTTCCTATTTCTTTTGACCATCTGCCTAAGGCTAAGTTCGACCATTGCACGAATTTGAGTTAAACCGCAGTGGTTGGCC